CACCTTATCTGTCATAATCATGCCTGGGCCTGTGAAAATCAAAGGCTGGTGCTGTGGCATGGTGAGCTGAGCCTCCGCCTGCAGCACCAGCATCCCAAATGGGTGCTGGTCTGTGTCCAGGCTGCTCCACTGCTGATCCAGCTCTCTGCTAACGTATGGCCTGGGAAAGCAGCAGCAGATGGCCCAAGTGCCTGGGCCCCTGCAGCCATCTGGGAGACCTGGAAGGAGCTCCTGGCTTCAGACCACCTCAGTTGTGGCCATTTGGGGAATGGACCAGTGCAAGACCTTTCTCTCTGTCTTTCCCCCCTCTCTCTGTAACTCTACCTCTCAAATAAATAAATAAAATCTAAAAAAAAAAAAAAAAAAAAACAAACAAAAAAAAACAAAGCCAAGGGCTCACTAATTGCTCAAGTAGTTCATTGCGCATTATTGTGTGGGAAGAGACAACTTCCTTCCAGGATGCCTACATTTGGATCAACTCTCAAAAGAAACATCAGCATCTCTCATTTTTTTGGGTTCTGAGCTCCTAAGATAACACTCTCCCTTCCAGCCTGATATATATATGAGTGGTACAGACAGAAGAAAACACTAAGATAGCAAAAGTGTTTTGACAACATATTCCACGGGAGGGATGTTATGATGAAGCAGGTGTACTCCCCAAATTACTAAAGATTAGGAAATATTTAGGGATTTATGTTCACAATCTTGAGCCTTCTCAAGTCACTAACATTAGCAACTATGATTATGTGAAAAGATAAAATTATCAAACTGTAACAGATGGATTTAAAAATGAAATTGTCTCTGTCCAATTCTAGAGTCTAGAATATTTATATTTTTTATCAAGGGAATTTTGGAGACAGAACGTCTTAATCTAGAGAAATACATTTCATATTAGGAATTGTCATGCACTAAAGCAGTTTTCAAGGGAGACCTTTACACAGGCATTCAGTTCCCATGCCATGCTTCTCTGCTAGCCAGAAGAGTGCATTGATTGCAAGACTTCAGCCAGACACTGCACCTGCGCATTGTGTCAGCTGCATCTCAAGGCGAACAACTGGCCTTTGTGGTGAGGGCAAGGAAGCCAGCTGCTTATCTTTCAAGAGTGGAGGTGCAGTTTCTGTATAGGGCTTTGGTACAGCGACACTTTTAAAAACTGGACAATTTAATCTCTTAAGGAAAGGGCTTTGGGCCAATAGCTGGAAGGATGAACCATTCATGCTTGAGTGTTGAAGTCTGCCATCTGTGAATGACCAAATCACAATGTGCAAATCTGGAGGTCCTCTGAGGACCATCTGAAAAGAACTATGTATGGTAGCCACAAATTAAGGAACGCAGAGAATAAAGGAAGCCTGAGGGAAAGCCCATTTCTATTAAGGTTTCTACCAGCTTGGCATGTGGATGACACTGTTTGGGTTTACTGATTTTCACAACACAAAATATTATGCAAGCCAAAGATAAGCCCTGTTACTCAATGTGGCTAACCCAACAAGTATCCCTGCTTTTTATTTTTTTTTGTCTTGTCTGTTTGTTCAATAAACCATTCTTACATACCTGGCATCTCAGCATACGATGCTGCTGCTCTTTTTGCCTCTGATTCTATCTTGTTACATAGGAACCTTTATATGCCTGGGTTGCTGCTGTGAGATCACTGATTGGTACACACACTCAGTAAAGATTTGTTGAATGAATATCATAGATCTTCTTCTGAGCTGCTATAGCATAGGAAATTATACCTTCACTTGTCACAAAGTATGACTATAAAATGTCATAACATTATAAAATAATTTCTCTGTTGGATATCTATGTATTCTAATTTTTCACAAACATAAATAATGCTACAGTAAGCATCCTTTTTTGATATAAAAAGCCAAACTGCTAATCATAATAGCAAATGAATAACATATTCTATAAAGATAAAAATCGGAAATACTGGGGTCAGTGCTATGGCATAGAAGGTTTAGCCTCTGCCTGCAGTGTCAGCAACCATATGGACGCAGGTTGAAGTCCTGAATGCTCCACTTACAATCCAGCTCCCTGCTAATGGCCTGGGAAAGCAGTGAAAGACGACCTAAGTGCTTGGGCCCCTGCACTCAGAAGAAGCTCCTGGCCCAGCCCCAGCAGATGCGGCCATCTGGGGAGTGAACAAGTGGATGGAAGATCTCACCCTCTTTCTCTCTCTCTCTCTCTCCTTCTCTGTATCTCTGCCTGTCAAATAAATAAATAAACCTTTAAAAATATCTGAAATACATTTAATATATAGCAAGTGATACTTTAATGTTTAAATCTGCAACTTGTATTATTAAATTCAATACTATACTGACTCTGCTTCTTTTTGCTTATTGTCAATTTTATGTGTTATTTATTTTCTAATGGTTTTAATTATTTGTCATATTTAGTGCAAATATTTCACATACCCTGCCTACTTATTTGTGAATCTTTATTTTGTATTAATTTTAAAGTTTATGCAATCAAATTCTATAGATCTGAAGATATTACCCTTCTCCAAATATTTATTAAAGTCTTTATTCTATTTGCATGTTTTTCAAACATATCCCAACACTTAACTCTTTCAGTCAGTTGGGATTTATTTTGGCATATACTGTAACACATATAAACTAAATATTCAGGTATTATTTCTTTTACTTTTATTTATTTTTTATTTTTTGACAGGCAGAGTGGACAGTGAGAGAGAGAGAGAGAGAGAGAAAGGTTTTCCTTTGCCGTTGGTTCACCCTCCAATGGCTGCCGTGCTGCGGCCGGCACACCGCGCTGATCCGATGGCAGGAGCCAGGTACTTCTCCTGGTCTCCCAAGGGGTGCAGGGCCCAAGCACTTGGGCCATCCTCCACTGCACTCCCTGGCCACAGCAGAGAGCTGGCCTGGAAGAGGGGCAACCGGGACAGAATCCGGCACCCCGACCGGGACTAGAACCCGGTGTGCCGGTGCCGCAAGGCGGAGGATTAGTCTAGTGAGCCTTGGCGCCGGCCAGGTATTATTTCTTAGAATTGCTAATCTGTAATCTCAGCATGAATAATGAACCCTTTTACTAGTTAATTTTGTGTACTTTATTACATATTAAATGGACTTTATTTAAGGATATTCTATTTTATTCTACTCCAATATATACCATGTTATTTATCAATATCTATTTTTGTGGCAGATTCACATTATATTTTAGTAACTTTTGCTTTGCACTTTGCTTAGTTACATTGTAGATTGTTCATTTTTCCAAAAACATTCTTCCATTTTCTCAGCTTTACTTTGAAAATCAATTTATTAAATTCTTGAGGGAAAATGTCAAGTTCCCTGAAGTTATATTACATGAATAATTTTGAGCTATTTTATTTTTAATTTTTCTTATATATTTCTGTGACTCTTTAATATCTAAAGTAAGAATGCTCATAATAAAGGTCATGCAAATATTTTATTTGTAAGCATTCCACATGCTGCTGGGAATGAGACTTTGTTTGCACTATTATTTCCTAATTCTATATTGCCAACATAAAATAACTTCAGCTTATTTTGGCTTACTGACTTTGGTCACACTGTAAATTTTCTCCCTGCATATTTCAAAATTAGATATCCAGGTTAAACACGGCACTGATCTCCAAGATGACTGAAAATGTTATCATTAAGGATAATCATGGCTTGTGATTTAAATTTTTCCATCAAACACTGAAAACGTAAGATTTACAATAATCCAGGTAGATTAGCACAATTTTAAAATAATGATTATTTATTAGGAAAATAAGATATTCTAAAGGTTAATTTTAGAGTAAAGTGGTAGGCGCTCACCTCTTGACTTTATAACTGCTTATTTTCAAGGCAGAGGATAAGAATTTGATATATTAATTTGTTAGGATGTGCATTTATGTCAACTGCACTGACAACCATAGTAAAGAAATTTATCATACTGGGTTATATTCTACCGATATCCTTTCTTAACTGCTTAATTCCACAAATGCCAGCCAGACAACAGCATAAAATAAATGATTTTTTGTTTATTTTTCTCTTCTAAAAATGAAATGAGTATCACAGAAATAAACAAAAGAATAATGAAGGTATTTTCCTCTTTGTTGCTCTTATGTCAAGACAAAAGAAGAGAGAGGGTGAATTTTTCAACAATCCAGAAGAGATGTCAGTCTTTGTTCTAACCACTGACTTAAAGCCAACAAAAATGCAATTAATCCCTGATGGAGAGGGGACTTTTGTCCCTGGATGGATAGAGGATACAGTGATGAATCAAGGCATGGAATTAAACAGAACACTGTTTGTCTGTGAGACACACTGTATGACCTAGCAACCCCCAGAAGCAAAGGCCCCTCGGTAGAGTGGCTTGGCCTCCAAAAATTCCTTTACCAAGTTACAGAGGTTATCTTCCTCCAGAATTAGGGGAGACCTGATCATAACTGCTTACCTTTTGAAAGCGAGGGCTGAAAAGCCTGGCCGCCTGGGTGGCATTTGTTAAATCATCACTCACTCACTAATTGCCATGAGGCTCTGTAGAGGTCCCACGGGCAAGTGACCCTCTGATGTCATAGAACTGATGTCCATGTCATCAGAAGACTTTTCTCAAGAAAGGAATCAGCATTATGTAAATGTGATTCTTCTCAATAAATGCATTTGAGGTGAAATCTACAAATGTGAAACATCAGAACTCTGACGTTTATTTTTACTTGGACAGTAGATGATTAAATCAAAAATTGGAACACAAAACAATTCATGGTTAAATAAAATCTATGAAAACAGTACTCAAAATATACTATGAAGGAAATAAAAATTACCAGTTATTAATTTTCAAAATAATAGTCTTTTTAGAATATTGCAGAAATATTAAATGGATGTGACTAAAAAACCATGTATGTTCATATTAATTACTAAACAGCTTTCCTATTAGTGCAATTCTTCACATTTGTTTATAATCATATAATACACCAAAAGTACATCTACTAGAGTACACACCTCTACATATTCTGGGATAAAACAAAAATCAATACATACCTTTTCCCAGTGAACAATTTCCCAAGCACCATTTCTCAAAACTGTAAAGACAAAAGGTGACATTTTGAAGAACTTTCAAAAACTACTGTGAAAGGCTATCTCTGATGCAATGATCATTTTAAATTAGTAGCTTCCAGGTAGTACTTTTCACAGGTTTAACTGTTCATTATGATAGTAAAGATATGTAAATTATGTAAACGATTAGAGACAACCAATGTACACTTTAGTTCCCACAAACACCTCACTGGTGTTACCAGGGCTTTCTCCAGCACACAGAAGAATTAATGAGTTTGTCTGGAGCGGAAAGCCACAACCAAGTGAAAAAGGGAGTGACAAGCTTCCAGACATCTCAGACGAAACAACAATAGCAATGCTTCTATAAAAGCATCACAAGCACAAAGTCATCTAACTGGTTAGTAAAAAAAATTTTTTTTTTTGACAGGTAGAGTGGACAGAGAGAGAGAGAGACAGAGAGAGAAAGGTCTTCCTTTTGCCATTGGTTCACTCTCCAATGGCCGCCGCGGCCGGCGTGCTGCGGCCGGCGCACCGCGCTGATCCGATGGCAGGAGCCAGCTACTTATCCTGGTCTCCCATGGGGTGCAGGGCCCAAGGACTTGGGCCATCCTCCACTGCACTCCCTGGCCACAGCAGAGAGCTGGCTTGGAAGAGGGGCAACCGGGACAGAATCCGGCGCCCCGACCGGGACTAGAATGGTTCATAAAATTTTAACACATGGAGTCAACAGAGAATCTGCACATTTATATCTGTAATGACACAGAAAGCAAAATTATGCATATTTTACTTATGGAAAAAAGTGAAACGGTGACAGTTCTTATATTCTGATAAACAAGTAGGTATTTCTGAGGGCTTCCTGACAGCAGTAGTTATTCCATACACTGCTGCTCCTGTATGTGTCTGTGGCATACTGAATACACCATGAACACTAAAAAATTACACAAAAAAACAGGAAAAGGAAGAATGTGAGTAGACACCACAGCTCTTAAAAGAAGAAGTCAAAGCCCACTGACCAATCCAGACAGTAAATTCCAAGAGGGCAATGTTAATATTTGCTTCAACATTATGTCCTGGAAACAGCACAGTACCTGGCACAAAGTAGACCCTCAGCAAATATTTACAAAATGAAAACTTAAAGGCACAAAAATATTAGTTTGTTTCTTTTGATGCTAGGAAAGAAAAAGTCTAGGATTTCTGGAAAAAGAAAGACACCATTATTTCCCAAACATTAAAGGGCAAATCAAATGTGAATTACATACCAACAGGTTTTGAAACCAGTATTATAATATGAATTACTTTAATCTAAATATAATACAGTGTTTTGTTTCAAAATTCCATAAGTACAGGGGTTGTATCTTACTGATTTTTTTTAGTGGCAGACTTTAAAAAACTATTTATTTTTATTTATTTGAAAGACAGAGACAGACAGATGGAGATGTTTCAATGGTTCACTCCCCAAATGCCCACAACAGCTAGGAATTGAGAACTCAAGCTGGATCTCCCATGTGGGAGGCAGGGACCTAAGCAAGTTCTTGAGCTCTCACTTGCTGCCTCCCCTGTATACATCAGCAAGAGGCTGGAACAGAAGCCTAATTGGGACTTGAACACAGGCACTCCAATATGAGATGCGGGTATCCCAAGTGGCTTACTATTGCCTGCACCCAATGCCCATCCCTGAATTATTTATTTCTAGGATCTTGCAGTGCTCTTGGAAAGAAGACATTGAAATGCCTTTAAAAATTTCTGAATATAAGCAAGAATGAATATTTCACAGTACATTTTGGTGACACAATTTCAAGTTGAAGAGCTAAAACTGTACTTTGAGTACAATATCTGTAACTATACGAATAAGTCAAAGTTCCAGTTTTAGCAGTACTCAAACATGCAGGGGTCAAGGCATATAAAACCAGAGTATCTTAAAACATAAAACTCTAATGCCTGCCAAGTCAAGCTGCTGTTATTAATCAGTGGGCTCCTTGATGATCCCATGGCTCAGAGTAAAACAGACAATGTTTAAAGTACGTCTCTGTTGGTGCTTAGCAATCTCTTCCTCAAAATCAGTTAGGACAGATAAAGAACAAACGGGAACTTTAACTTCCCTTTAATCACTTAACCCAGGGGCTACAACATAACAAGTACTCAACAAAGAGCCAGCAAAGTGCCATTCATGCTAACTATACTCAAGATTAACTGACAGTGACATGATTGTACTATAAATTTATATTTATTGGTGTGGTGGAATGAGGAGGTGAAAAGGTCATGCCAAGATGGCCGCTGAGGTGAAAAGGTCATGCCAAGATGGCCACTGACAACAGAAACTGCCTGGCAACAGGCCGTGACTGGATGGCTTCGGAAACCACAAGACAACAAAGCCTGACAGCAGGCCGTGACTGGATGGTTTCAGAAACTGCCTGGCAATAAGAGCCTGACTGGCAACAGGCTGTGATTGGATGGCTTTGGAAACTGCCTGGCAACAGGCTGTGGTTGGTTAGGGCATAGACCGCCCTTTGACCAGATTGGCTGCCTTGGCTATATAAGCAGCTGTAGCAACTGAAATAAACGAGTCTGCCTGCTGCTCACTTCAGGCCTGCTTTCACCTGACTCCCAGGGTCTAAGTGGTAAATCTGCGCCTCTTGCCCGCACGAAACTCCTCCTCTCAGGAACGAATCCTCTCAGAAGAAATCAAAATCAACAAATTGGGACTGGTGCTGTGGTGTAGTAGGCTAAAGCCTCTGCCTGTGGTGCTGGCATCCCATATGGGCACAGTTCGTGGCCCCGCTGCTCCTCCTCTGATCTAGCTCCCTGCTTATGGCCTGAGAAGGCAACATAAGATGGCCTAAGTGCTTGAGCCTACTGCATGTGTGTGGGATACCTTGAAGAAGCTCCTGGCTCCTGTTTTCAGATCCGATGGCCGTTATGGCCACTTCAGGAGTGAACCAGAGGATGGAAGACCTCTGTCTCTCCAGCTGTCTGTAATTTTGTCTCTCAAATAAATAAATCTTTTTTTAAAAGTTTACATTAATTAATTTTTATTAAGATTTATTTTATTTCTTTGAAAGAGTTAGAAAGAAAGGCAGAGGCAGAGAGAGATGTCTTCCATTCGATGGTTCACTCCCCAGATGTCTGCAACAGCTGGAGCTGGGCCGATCCGAAGCCAGGAGCCAGGAGCTTCTTCCGGGTCTCCCATGTGGGTGCAGGGGCCCAAGGACTTGGGCCACCTTTTACTGCTTTCACAGGCCACAGCAGAGAGCTGGATTGGAAGAGGAGCAGGTGGGACTAGAACCGGCGCTCATATGGGATGCCGGCGCTTCAGGCCAGGGCTTTAACCCACTGGTCCACAGTGCTGACCCCTACATAGTTTAAATTAGAGAAACATTGTTTAATAGTGTTTACTATTCTTTACTGCCATTTATTTTCTTCTGTTCCTATCTTGTATTAGTAAACATTCTTCCAACTGCAATACTTTTTTAAAAACAAGTGCCCAATATTTTTAAAATTAAGAGCTTTCACTCAAAAATAACAGCTTTAGGTTAGACAGGATGAATAGATCAGAGACTTGAAAACTGAGGAGGGAGTAGATTGTAAATATTTTCATCACAAAATGTTAAGTACATGAGGTTATGAACATGTCAGCTTGATTTAATAATTTCACAACATATACCTATCAAAACTTCACATTATATACCATAAATACATGCAATTTATATTTGCTGAAAAAGAATGACAGCAAGAATCATAACATGTTGAGTAATAAGAAAGAGTCTATGAGCAATATCAACCAAAAAGAAAAACAGAAAATTAAGTCTTGTAATTTATCTGGAAAACTCAGGTTAGGCAACTTTGCCGTCAAGTCCCACATGGTGGTTTGTGGCTGGGATAGAGCCAAAGGCTACCTGTTCACATGGGCTCACTAGTTCACTACTGTATTCGTGGTTTCCTACCATCTTACACCCAGCATATTCTCTTATTTAGGACATTTGCTTGACCCATGCTCATGATGCTATCATTTTTTTTTTTTAATTTGACAGGTAGAGTTATAGACAGTAGAGAGAGAGAGAGAGAGAGAGAGAGAGAGAGAGAGAGACAGAGAGAAAGGTCTCCCTTCCGTTGGTTCACTCCCCAAATGGCCACTATGGCCGGCGCTGCGCTGATCCGAAGCCAGGAGCCAGGTGCTTCCTCCTGGTCTCCCATGGGGTGCAGGGCCCAAGCACTTGGGCCATCCTCCACTGCACTCCCGGGCCACAGCAGAGAGCTGGACTGGAAGAGGAGCGACCGGGACTAGTACCCGGCGCCTGTATGGGATGCAGGCGCCGCAGGCGGAGGATTAACCAAGTGAACCACAGCGCTGGCCCCAGATGCTATCATTTTTTAACAGAAGCATTACTATATTTGTTATAAACATAACTTACAACAAAATAAACAGATCTCAAGTGTTCCGCTGGATGAGTTTTGAGAACTGCAAATCCCGCTGTGTACCCTACTCAGAACAAGATCGAGAACTCCAGAAACATCCCTTATGCCTCTTTCCAAGCCACCTCCCCTCCCCCCAGGCAAGTTCAGTCAATGCAGAGTAGTCCTACATTTCACGTACAGGGAATCTGATGGTATGTATGACTTACACATTCAAGCAGCATTTCAAAGATGATATTTAAAAGATTTTTCTTCCCCTCATTAAATCAACACAGAACCATGCTGCATTGATTTCTGGACTCCAGATTATTCTAATTTACATATTTCCACGCTACTATATACCATCTTGATAGTATAACAATTAAAGTCTTAGAATTAGGTAGTATAAGTCTTTCAACTTTGGTTTTTTTTCACTATTATTTTGACAATTCTAAGTCATTTGCACTTCCATAAAAATTTTAGAATCCAACTGTCTTAGAATAGAACACACACACACACACACACACAAACTTCCTGGAATTTAATTTGAGGCTCAAGTTATCTTCTTTTTTTAATTTATTTACTTTTTAATTTTTTTGACAGGCAGAGTTACACAGTGAGATAGAGAGACAGAAAG